ATAATTCATACTTTTGCAAACAGTAAATTTATAAAAATGACTATATAATAGATATACATGTTAACACCGAAGTGGTGACTAACTACAGAAAAAAAACGAATACGTAAAACAACCTAAATCAGCACATAAAAAAGGCACAGCCGAACAACGTATTATATGTTAGCCGAAGAGATCGACGCACAATGTGACGTCACATATAAATTTCTATAAATTTCCAAAAAAAGGATAAAGTTCAAGATTAGGTTTGTAATACTGATATAACATGTATTAATAACAATGAAAATTACAATACTTATTAATATACAATTGTGGTAGTAATTAGATAATTAACTGTATCATCAAGCTATGCCGGTATTTCTTCTAAATCAAACTGTAAACCAAATACATCGTATAAATTTAGTTGATCCAAACAAAAGTCTTATAAATGAACTACAAGTATTTTTCAAACACTGTAAAGGATCAAAATATCTGTATTCTGTGATGACTTGAAAGAATGTTATTCCTACTGGACAGTTAAAGTGGGTTAAAATTTTAGGTAAAAAGAATCTGAACTGGAACCATTTTCAGACAGCCTTTTGCTGCTACTAAAATAGTAAATTACAGTGGTTGCAATACAAGATTAACCATTGCATTATTGCAACAAACCAGTATCTAGTTAAAATTAAATTTATTGATGTACATTTTGTAAAACAGAAAACGAGTCTAGAGAACATCTCTTTTGGAATTGCATTACTGCACAACATTTTCTACAGGATATTGATAACTGGTTCCTTTCCGGTGGATTAAGTCTCTAAATGAATAAATTAAACTCTCTTTTTGGAGACTCATGATTTTTCTTTATATTAAACAATACATGTATAATACTAGATGCTTTAAAAAGAATCTTTAGTTCCAAGCAATTAAAATAAAGCTGGAATATATGTATAAATTAGAGAGTATAATATCTGTAAAAAATAAAAGAAATAACTGAATTTTACAATGTATGGAAAGTTTTTGAAAACCTGTAATTTAATACATAAATATGCATATCCTGGCTGTTACGAAAGAAATATGTAAAGTTAATTTTTCAAATATTATTCATCATGAATATGTTACATTTAAAAAAAAATAAAATATAGATAGGGATGTAACTGGATAATTCCCTTTATTCTTTTTTTTTCTTCTTTTTCTTCTTCTTCATTTTCCACTCCTATACTATCTGTTGATTATTATTATATATTTATTTATCTATTTTCATATTTTTTATAACTTTATCTTTTGATCTGTTCTATAGAAAAATGTCAAATACTTTCAATTATAATGTATTTATAATAACGGCATTGTATATATGTATTTTATTGTATGCTTGTCATGTATATGCTTTATTGTTGGAAATAAAAAAAAAAAGAAAAGAACAAAGCTAGATGTTCTAGATGTTCAACCGCGGATCCAGCAATTTCGAAAAGGGAAAAGGGAGGTATCCAACCAACACCATGAAACGTTCACATAATTAAAAAAACTGTATATATATATATATATATTTATTAAAAAAATCGAGAAAAAGGGAGGGTTCTAACCGCAGGAACACCACCCCCTGGATCAGCCGATGATGTTCCAAATAGTCGTGCATCATGCTCCTATTGCCTCATGCTTTTAAAAAAAAGAGAATATTGCTTTTGAAGTTGAAAGTGCTACAAATGCAGGAAAAGTCCCATTAGATAAACTTTTGGTAGGAATTTTCCTTCATCTGCTCTATCCAGTAAACATCTGGTTCTCAATTAGTACAAAGCTAGATGTTCTAGATGGTCGGGCGAAAATCCAGCCATTTTGAAAAGGGAGAGGGGGTGTTCCAACCCCCGGAACACCATGAAACGTTCACATAATTATAAAAATGTTTTAAAATCGAGAAAAGGGAGGGGGTTCAAACCCAATGAACACCTGGAGGTTAAAAGTGCATACATATGCAGGAAAAGTCCCACCAGATAAACCTTTGGGAGGGATTTTCCTTCTGATTTACTTTATCCAGTAAGCATCAGGTTATCTGTCTAGTACAACTGCTAAGCAAAGAACTTTAGGCTTGTTATAGTATTTCAGCCACCAAAATGCTAGACAAAAACGTTTGAAACCAGTATCTACACCAACAATTCATTCTTTTAGTCCTAGATACATGAATATCTTTTATTGGTTGATATTGGCTTTTAACTAGCTTTCAGTAACTGCGAGTACTCTCAGATCGGTACTTTGTATATTTGGTGTTTTAGTAAGTTGTTTTGTGCTCAGTATCGATCTGATGAGTTAACCCTTTTTAACTGATTTTAACGCTAGTAAGTATGGTGTGCTGTTACACTACTGTCCCATGTTAGGGGTGGTGGATACCGGTAAACATGTGCCTTAATAAAAAAAATGGTCCAGGAGCACTGCAAGATATTATTCCCGGAGCAAGTACTGTTGATATTTCTATTGAAGACATTAATGTACTCCTCCATTGCCATGCTGTCAATGCGAGTAAAAAGAGGTAGTGTGTCCAAGTCAATGAGACTGCCGTAAAAAAATGAAACCAACCAAAACATTCAAAGATAACTATCTTAGCACTTAATGTCTGTTTTACAGCATGTGAGCTATCAGAGTACGGTAACAAAATCTTTTTTCAGTGTCGTGAATCAGATGTTTTCTCATTTGTATGATGACTGCCAAAATTATTCAAATACACTTTACAACTGCAATTTCAATAAACAGAAAGTATCAAGAGTGAAGGAGAAATAAGTTTCTGTTCCGCCTCTTGACTTTATGGCCAAAAAAAATGAATATCTTATATGAAAATGAAAGAGAACACTGAAAAACTGAAAGATTATTGTTTGCCTGTCACTTTCAGATGTCCACACACACACTTTCGTATGATAGTGGTTCAGTCTTCAAAAGAACTTTCGATGAAATCAATGAAACGATCACATAAAAATACAGATCCTGTGTCTAAGCTGACAACACTCCGTTTTACTTTCTGTTCGGGATTATTACATCAGCCAATGAAATTACAGATTTCAAATTTCTGAAGATTGTAATAATCTGACATAACCAGAAGATCCCGAAAGGACGTTGAAACAAAAAGTAGAACAGAGCATTTTCAGATCCTTGTACATGGTGTACGCAAAGATTGGACACAGGATTTGTATTCTAATCAGATTGTCAAAAAAAAAATGTTGACTGCAATAATCTTTATTTAGTGATACAATAACGTAAAAAGAAGAATTAAAAGCAGGAAATACATCAACTAATAGTAGATTGATCAATTGATTTATTGACTTTATTAAGGTCCAGAAACAAATATTGCATGCTTATATAGGACGAAATTGATAATAGGTTATATGATTAATATTTATTTTAATGCAGTCGCAAATAAGTTAGTCAGAAAGGTAGCTTGACAGTCAATTTAAAATAACAGAGATGCTCATCTTTTCTTTTCACAGACATATCCAGTTGTTGGGTACGTACAAGGTCTGTCATTCCAATTAAAACTAGTCCAGAAACAGGTATTCTTACAGTAGCATCCACAATTTTCACCTCTTCCACCATTTGGTTCAGTATATCTCCAATTGGTATACGATACAAAAGAGTTATCAGACCAACGCCAATGTCCTTCATTCTGAATGTCATTCATTCCAAGCCATACTTCGTCTGCCGAGAACAAGGAAAATATTTTAACTAAACCAATATGACAGTAGAACATAATATGTTTTACGACCTTATAAGACAGTTCTTAAAATACAATACAGCTTCATTGTTCTTAACGGTGAACTAAAACCATAACTGTAGTTCGAGGGTATGGACAAATAATTACAGAATTATTTCATAGTTTGCCAAAATTTACATAATAGTGTTAATCCCGACACATTCTGTAGGTGACTGTCTCAAATCAGTAGCCTGCAGTTCAGTGAGTGTCGTTATCGCTACCTATCTCTTTTTTATTTTTCGTTACTTGTTTTGTTCGTAAACTAATAAATGTTTTTTTCGGCCGAATTGTTTTATTTTTTGTCATGTTGGGGTCTTTTATTGCATACTATACGGTATAGCGTTTGCTCAACTATAGCCTATAGTTGCTTACTACTACGTCAACTGGACTCTTGTGAATAGTTGTCTCTCCTTGGCAATCATACCACATCTTATTTTTATATAGTGTAAGCACACATGTTTTTAAATATAATAAAAGGTCCATGTCCGGAGCTTGTTTTGAGCTTTATGTAGTGCCAAATTATCTTATTTCATCAAGATTATACAAAAGAAACACCTAATTATATATACTGTAAAAGAAAAGTAACACGGCAAAAGCGTTTACAGAGAGGGGCAATCTCCTAACACGGGTTGCGTATCTGTTTAATACATTACATGTAATATATTTTTGAATTTAATGTCGCACAAAGTTTTCTAAGCAGATGATTAAATAATGGTAAAAATACCTTTCAACTCTGACGTCAACCATGTCTCCTCTTGACCATTCTCAACCTTTACAAGATATCCGCCTTTATATTGACACTCAGTCTAAAACAAGTAAAATGTTATTTACAAATTACAGTATGGTAATCAATGGCCATATATGAAAGGACCAGCAATTAAACCCTGATAACCAGTCGCTTGACAAATCTTGACATATTGTATAGACGCCTGACTATTATGGAGTAAATGTTGAACTCTAGATATCTTTTTTGTTATTGTTTTGTTGTTGGGATGTTGCTCATTGACGTATACACTACTTCTCTGTTTATTGTCTGTATTTGAACATAAAGAACGCCAATGCCTATTTAACCAAAGCAATATCTATTACCCAGTCAGTTTAAGATACTTGCCTTTGAACGTTACGAATGCAGATATAATTTGGATATTTTTCAAAACCCCTACACCCGCTTTTCAAGCTAATATCACCCCCCCCCCACCCCCCCCCCCCCCCAACCCCTAATTTAATTTTCTGTTTGATACACAAAATTAACAAGCCGATCGTAATCTTGAATGAAGAAGTATGTTTCAATTACCCTAGCATCCATCCATGTAATTGGTTTGTAAACGAACAAATAACAGTGGTCTGAATATAACTTCCAGCCATTAGGACATTTTCCTGTAACGATATAAATAGAACTTAGGAGCTGATACACAAACTTATCGTCCTGGAAATAAGGAAATGTAAGAAAAGAAAAACAGAAAATGTCCTCCAAATGCAACTCAATTTTGCGGTCCTAGAATTTCGTAAATTTCCCCTACTTCTTTCAAATAAGGTATGAACAACATTGCACCCTTTACCATACTCCATCTAAAGCATTATCATTAAGTTTCTAAGCTAATATGATTAAAACTTTAGTTACTTTAACACTTTAATCGGATGTAGAACTGCAACAGACAATAACTGTTTTGCATAAAGTTTGAAAATGTTTTATCATGATGTAAATTTTGATCAAGCGTATACTTACGATTTTTCATTCTATCTAGTTCAAACTGCAATTTGTTCAATTGTTCAGTCATTTTCCTCCACATCATCATCCATGTAGACTCATTTCTTTTTTATTCGGCTAAAGATACGGTACAACTTGCAAGCAACACCACAAAGAAAACAAAAACAAACACCATTTTTTTTCGTTCAGTTGAACAAATGTGTAACGTATTAAAAACACTCAAACAATCTGATTCAAAGTCAGATCTATCGGAACTCGGTTACTCATCTAATTCATATAAGCATAACGAAATCGGAGATCCATATATTAATTTGATTGACACTTAATTTTCCGAGAATTTTTTTAAGCAGGAAGTGTTTCGAAATATGACAATTTACTGAATAATTACATGTTTGCGTGACAAATGATGAAAGCTGTTAGCTTGTTCATAGTATCAGCATTTTATCTTCTTTGCTCAAGATACGATATACGTAGCTTGTGCAACCAAGACAAAAAAAGTCATGGATCTTGAAAGGAGTAGAGCCACTAACCTCAATATATGGCCATTTAAAGGTGTATCTTTTAAAACTTAAATTGTTTGAGTAAATCTATTGTGTATTTATTTCTTAATACATCATTTTCGAAAGTATAATATGAGAAATTGTATAGGTGCTTCATATTTATAAAGAAACTAGTCTGAAAAAGGAAAAAAAATTATTTCGTCCATTTCCTATAAATGTGTCACCTTTCAGACCTTTTTTTTTTTATTTTATATGTGGCGCAACCCTTCGCCGATTGAAATTTTGGTTGAAATGTAAAGAATATGGTATATAAAGAATATTTCTGCAAAAATATTTGTGGGCGAGGGGTGGCGCCACTGTATTTTTTTTTCAGAAAACTGTCTTAACCTTTTGAAAATTGTGCATAAAATCAGGTTTAAGTGAACTATCCCTATATTTATGACGTCAAAAATAAATTATTCATGACGCAATTGGTGGAAATATCTGTTTAAACTGTCGTCAACTTCTACCAACATTGTCGCAGTTTAAAATTTTCAGATTTTTAGCCAAAATTATGAGTTAGTGAACCAACTGTTTTTACAAAATGTGAAACGATTTAAGAATTAGCAACTTTGTTACACTAGTTTTCCAATTGGAAATGTTGTACAAACAGAAGTCAAAACTTTATAGATCAATATACACGTGACAATAAGTGTAAATTGATACCATGTTTTTGATAAATTTATAACAGGTCTAATATTGATTTGTCCTTGAAATTCTGACATGTTGATACGTAATTTCGAAATATGCAAAGAAAAAGTAATACCTTCATGAATTAGTTTTCGAGATTGCATCTTCCATGTAAAAACACAAAATTGCATGTTTTCGAAAAAAAAAACCATTTACCTTTAAATGGAAAGAGATATTCCCACCCGGTCTTTTTCACAGTGTTCCTTACTTTAAAGGCCTTATTAGTGGGTCCAACCAATGCAGGCTGAATTCGATAACATATTTGTGAAACCATAGACACAGAACCAATAGAAAGCCGAAAACAATTTTCTGGCCACGTATACAAATGAATAATTGTATTGATGGACTGATGCGTTCATTTTATTTTTTAACTAAGAACAGGAAGCCTAGTTTTTTTTTAAACTGGGCATTTGAATTTAAAACCTCAAAGTAGATTTCGCTCGTGAATTAAATTTTCAACATGTTATTTTCTTAGAAAATACTTCCGATTTTGATTGGTAATAGGTATGACAAAAGATAGTTTTCTGTAAAAAGAATATGCAGTTAATATTATGCCGAATATAAAAAAAAATATATGCATAGATATATTGTTTATCTTTTTGTATAGTGTTCTTGTCTCCATAATGGTGTCTGACCTTGTAAAATATAGCGATTTTTTTTATGTCTTCTTTTATTTTCTTTTTTTTTACATTCCCCTCATACATAACTGAAACTATATTCCACACAAATATTGAAAAAACATCAATAAATTTGTATCCAAGTATCCTATAATCAAAAATCTCTATTTATACATCTTACTCATATCTTAGTATATTTTAAATTTAAAACTGCTTTTTATTATTCATTAACGTCTCTTTATAGTACTCATTGAGTAGTCAGTAGCAGAGACATGACATACATCACCGTCTCTGTTAATAGTTATCTAATAGCTATAGTAGTCTATAATATTTATTGTAGTGCAGTAGTACCATAGTTATCTTATTGTGATTTTGGGAAACATGGATTAGTTACTCTTTCCCTTTGTTAACAACATAAGATGGGTTTCTAACAAGCAGATAGGCAAAAGTTGCCAATTAAAGTTTAGATTTATAGATTTACCACTAAAAAACACACAAACAAAAGCAAACGTATCCACTATCAAAGTTATCAATAATAAGTTAAGTAATAGAATATAACCAGAAGCTAAGATTTAAGACACGTTAATTAATAGAATAACAAATTAACTGATTAGATGTCAATATAATTTGTTTTTAATCCTTATTTTTTTAATGTGTAGAAATTAATAAATAAATCAAATGACACTGAAAATTATATAATTATTATGTTATACAAATTTGCAATATTTAGTAATGATATATTTAATTTTCTTAAACGTAGGGATTCTATTATATGTGTCTGTTTGTAATAAAAGTTTACAAAAAGAAATTCAAAGTAAATATAGCAAGTACGTATACATCCTAATAGAAATTAAAAAAAAACGGTGCTTTGCTTTTGCGCAAATTGGAATTTCATTTGGGCAAAAAAATCTTTGATTTGTGCCACAAACCATATGTCATTTGCGTAGAAAGAAAATATTTCATGTATGCCAATGATACAGGTAAATAGTGCAAATAACAGATCTATATTGAAACGAAACTTAATAATAATGTTACAACATATTTATCATCATAAATCACATACGTGTATTTATGGCCTTCGGCTGTTGTCTGCTCTTTGGTCGGGTTGTTGTCTCTTTGACATATTCCCCATTTCCATTCTCAATTTTATTAAAACAATAAACCAAAATGAAAACTTTAAAGGTTTTTTAAATGAGATCATTGTACTTTTTACTGGTCAAAACCATGGTTGAAAGTATCATTCAATGTTTTTATAATAGTTTCCTGTGCACATCTGTTGTGATTCTGGCTTTGCAACTTTTCTGAATACATCTATGCTATGTGAACACTATTCAATTTTATACCCTTAAGTGACTCTCAGTTTTGTAAGAGAAATGAATATAAACTTACCTACGTACCCAATGGAGGGGATATATTCTACAAAACTTCTTGTACGAGCCCCGTATTCAGGATACAACTTATTTTAAAACTTTTCTGATATATTTCACCTATAAATTGGTCGCAAAAGCAGTAATTATTTTTGATGCAGATGAAATACAATCCTGTGGTGCAAATAACAATACCGTAGTTTTCCACATCTGTTGTGATTCTGAATTTGCACATTTTTGGGGTACATCTATGATATTTTTGTCCGTTTTATCAATACATTAGATATCCTAAATGTGATCTCTAAAAAAATTACAGACGTATTTCTTCCTCTATCTGCCTCCAAATGAATAATGTCCATTTTGTCACCTGGAGAATGCGAACACAGTGCAATTATATACCTTTAAGTGACTTTCAGTTTTTGTATGAAAAATGAGTATGAACTCACTTATTTACCCAATGGGGGGATAATCTATACAACAATTCTTGTGCGAACTTCGTATTCAGGAAACAACAAATATTAAAACGTTTCTGTTATATTTGACCTGTAAATTGGCATAAAAGCAGTATTTATTTTTGGTGCAAATGAAATACAACCCTGTGGCACAAATGAAATACAGCATTTAAAAAAAAAATTGGTGCAAATGCATCGCGCCCAAAAAAGTACAGTTTCAACTTGTGAGTGCATCAGGGAAACAAGAAATTTTCATATCTTTCAAGCTAATACTCTGATGTAATTGAAAAGAAATTAATAATTACATGACAAAAAGGTAATTTAATTTATTACTTTCAATTACATGTAATAATCTCAATTAACCTAGTGCTTTAGATTACTTTCAATTGTTTAATTAATTCGTGTAAGTACAATTATATTTTTAATTACTTAATGTCTGGCAATAGAAGGCAATATTTTTACCCTAGAAAATAGATATTTCTTTAGGGCAACAACGGGACTTTTGAACATTCAAGTGAGATTTCTGTGATTTAGCAATTTACGATTATTGACAATAACTTGGGATCAACAAGGATCTTCAAAATGCTCATTTGTTTCTTCGTGTGAGTGTTAATCCTCAATTTCCTCAAAATGAATTGTTGGGTTTCATTGACAGTTATTTGATATCCTACATTTCCCATGTCATGCTGCTTTTGCAACGTTAATACTAAAACAATTTTTATTTGTTTTTTATTGAGCTTAAGAGGATTTAGCTTGATTTGGCTACATGCACATAAGTTTCTCCAACTGTAAAAATATCTTCCTTTGGAATCAGATCAATGCAATACATTTTTCTTGCTATGTTGAAGACCCATTGATGGCCTTAGGCTGTCATATACTCTTTGGTCGGGTTTTTTTGTTTCCTTGACACATTCCCAGTTTCCATTCTCAATTTTGTTATTCTGTCAGTCAGGGTTAGCACGTATACAAGTCAATTTAATTTACTTGAAGATTTAAGTAACATTTACCTGTAGAAGTAAATTAGTAACATTATTAATTGTTATTATTTTTTTTTTCTGATTTCCTAACTTTTGTTTAAATTAGAGTTCAACCTTTTATCGTAATAACTAAACAAAGAACTTTACAGAACATCGGTATTAGGTAACTGTGCAAATATGACCTATAATTGACTTACTTCTCTAAATTGTAACTTGGATGGAGAGTTGTCTCATTGGCACTCATACCACATCTTCCTATATCTATATAAAGCCTTCAAAAATTGCCCCTTGGAGGCTTTTAAAATAGCAGTGTTTTAAAGATAACAGACAAACGAGATTTTCATTGCCCATGCAATTATATGTTAATGAATAGAAAAGACAACTATTAATTACAAGCAATTAAACATTCAGCTACACGTTGTAGTAAAAAAGAATGCCAGAAAAGTGGAAATATGATTTTTATTACTTATATATAAAAAAAAATGCGAATGTCTGAGGGATATAACTCTACCCCAACATAGTTCACCCGCAAAAGTAAATCAAAGAAACACTTCTATACCTATACCCCCTGACTGTCAGTTAAATTTGTTTAAAAATAACACCGTTATTATTTCATCAAAGGTCCTGTTAGATATTGCGA